TGGAAGACTATGAAACGATAAAGAACAATGATGAATCTGTAACATCTCACAACATGGATGAATCTGGAGGGTATTATGCTGAGTGAAATAAGCCAATCACAAAAGGACAAATATTGTATGAGACCACTAGTATAAGAACTCAAGAAAAGGTTTACACACAGGAAAAAGCATCCTTTGATGTTTACAAGGGTGGGAAGGGAGGTGGAGGGGAAATCAATAATTAGATAGTTGACAAGTGCCAGCTTTGTTGAAGGGAAAGACAACAGACAACATAGATGAAATCAGCACAACTTGAACAAAGCAAAGGCATAGAAGTTCTCTAGACGCATCCAAACACCTGGGACCAAGTTGCTGGAGCTAGGGGCTGGGGACCATAGTCTCGGGGGACATCTAGGTCAATTGGCATACCATAGTTCATAAAGAAAATATTCTACATCCCACTTTGCTGAGTAGCATCTGGGGTCTTAAAAGCTTGCAAGCAGTCATTTAAGATACATCTATTGGTCCCATCCCACTCCAAGCAAAGGAGAATGAAGAAAACCAAAGACACAAGGAAAATATTAGCACTAAGGACTTAAGACTACATGAATCCAAGTCTCCACCATCTTGGGCCCAGAAGAACTAACTGGTACCCAGCTACCACCACCGACTGCTGTGACAGGATCATGAGATAGTCCAGGATAGAACGGGAGAAAAATGTAGAAAGGAATTCAAATTCATGAAAACATGTCAAGCTTACTGGTCTGACAGAGACTAGAGGAACCCTTGAGATTATGGCCCCCACACGCTCTGCTAGCTCAGAACTGAAACCGCTCCTGAAGTCCACTTTTCAGAAAAAGATTAGATAGGCTTATAATACAAACAATAACGCACGTGAGGAATGTGCTTCTTAGTTCAATCAATTATATGAGAACAAACGGATAACTCCTCCCCAAAAGCAAGACAAGAAGGCGGGAAGGGACAGGAACTAGAAAAATGGACACAGGGAACCCAGGGTGGAAAGGGGAAGCATGCTGTCACATTGTGGGGATTGCAATCAATGTCACAAAACAATATGTGTATAAATTTTTGAATGAGAAATTAACTTGAGCTGTAAACTTTCACCTAACCCAAAAAACTCAAACCCACTGCTGTCGAGTTGATTCTAACTTGTAGCGACCCCATAGGGTTTCTGATCCTGTAAATCTCTACGGTCAGCAAAAAAAGAGGAAGACCCTCAATGAGATGGATTGACACAGTGGCTGCCACAATGGACTCAAACATAACAATGATAGTTGAAGTTCTTCCTGTTTAACTCTATTCCCTTTCCCCCTTTTTGTGGTATTATTATTATACATACTACCTTATTACATTATTAATGTTATAAACTCAACAATACATTGTTTTAATTATTACTTTACCATCTATCCTTATTTCCTTAGCTTTGTACAGGTTTGCTCCCACCCTTCCTTGTGCTGTTATCAGCAAATAAATTACACACATATTTCATTTCTATGTTATAAGCTCAACTGTCTATTATATACATATTGTTTTATCTGGTTGTTTTTGAAATAAGTTAAGAGAAGAAAGAAGAAAAATATGCATTAATGAAGTCTATTATAACTACATAATTCCTTTTCCTGATGTTCTCTGTTTGTTGTTGTGGATTTGAATTACCATCTTGGGACACTTGCTTTCAACCCAAAGATCTCCCTTTAGTATATATTGTAAGGCAGGTCTGTTAGCAACAAATTACCTCATTTTTTTATTTATCTGAGAAAATATTTATTTGCCTTCAGTTTTGAAGAATAGCTTTGCTGGGTATATGATTCTTGATTGGTAGTTTTATCCTTTGAGTACTTTGAAATTTTATCCCATTGCCTTCTGACCTCCATTGTTTCTGTGGAGATGTCAGTTGATAATTTTATTGGGACTCCTTTGTAAGTGATGCATTCTGTTTCTCTTAATGCTTTCAAGATAGCCTCCTTGTCTGTGACTTCCAGCTAGACAATATGTCTGTTTGTGGGTTACTTTGAATTTATCCTACTTGGAGTTCATTGAGCCTTCTGCATGTGTAGATTATTATTTTTAAATAAATTTGGGGAGATTTCAGTCATTAGATCTTTAAGTATTTCTTTTTCTTCTTTTATTTCTCATCTCCTTCTAGTACTCCCATTACATGTATATTGGTGTTCTTAATGAGTCTCACATTTCTCTAAGGTTCTATTCAGTTTTCCTGATTCATATTTCTCTGTTCTTCATAAACTCTACTTATTTTTCTTCAAGTTCACTATTTTTTCCTCTGCTAATTCAGATCTGCAAGTGAGCCCATCTAGTGAATTTTTCATTTTGGTTATTATACTTTTCAACTCCATAATTTCCATTTGGTTCTTTTTTAAACTTGCTATCTCTTTATTGATATTCTATACTTTATACGATGTTGTCATTATATCCTTTTTTTTTTTTAACTTCTTAAATCAAGCGTTCCTTTAGTTCTTTTAACATATTTATAATGGCTACTTTCAAATGTTTTCTGTTAAATCCAACATCCGGTCACTCTCACATGCAGTTTCTGTTGCCTAGTTTTTTCCGGTGAATGGGCATAATTTCTTGTTTCTTTGCATGCCTTATAATTTTTTTCTGGAACCTGGACATTTTAGATAATATATTGTAGCAACTCTAGGGCTTGTTTCTGCTCTTTGTTTACTTTTTTTTAGTGACTGGTCAGATTATTATATTAAATTCTAATCCTGCCCCCCCCCACACACACACACTGTTAATTGTCTCTGATGTTGCTACTCAGGGAGGCCGACTTTGGGTATACCCATGTTCACCCTGGGATAACAAGGTTACTGATAGGGCTCTCTTCCACTCTTTCTCTGACCACACCCAGGTATTAAACTACATTAATTACAGGCAAATTTATTGTTTACATACTGGGGCATGAATTCTTTTACAAAGTAATCTAATCAAATTGTGACTCCTCAATGATTTTTGAGGTCAGTGTTTGATATTTGTGCCAACCCCAGAAAGGATCTTCCCAGCTGTCTTATTCACCAGGTTCTCTCCTGGAAACTGACTGACCTATAGTCTAGGCATGTATCTTCATCAGATCCATGAATCTCTTCCCAATTCCTTTCTCCAAAACTTCCACTGTTTTTGAGAACACTCTTAGATTTAAACTTCTTCAAGCTCTGTTGTAAACAAAGTTAGTTTCATTGGAAACAGATTAGGAGCTACCTGTTTCACGAATTACTTTTTTCCTCAGGCCAAATCTGTGGTCCAGAGTTCTGGAGCTGGAGGTGGGAAAAATGGCAAGCTTCTCTCTGAGTGACACCACCTCACTCTAGGAGATGAGCACTAGGTGGAGGTGGGGCAGTATCCTGATGTTCTCTTAGCTTGACTGTCTTGGTATGGAACCACCACATCATGAACGGGGGGCAGGGTTATAGGGGCCCCAGGATTCTCAGCACATACCAAACCCTAGGTAGAGGCACTGTTTCATTCACAAGTGGGGGTTGGACAGAAGAATGGAGACTCCACCTCTCAGCTGTGCTGACCTAGGACTTAGCCTTAGCCACAGGAATCTAGGGGTAGGGTGAGAAAAATTGAAATCCTTCTTCTCCTGGGAAGAAAGCCCTCTGACTAGGAGCTGTGAGGAGAGTGAACACTGTGTTCCTGGCTGTAGCAGTCTGGAGTGGAATCTCCTCACCGAGGTAAGAGGTGTGGCAAGACAAAAGCAGTCTTGGTTGAAATACCACAGATTCTTTCCTTTCTTATGGAATTTTCATAAATTTTGTTGAATATGCTTCTTCATTTGCTGTTTCCCCTTAGGATCATTTCCAAAGTTTTGAAAAAAAAATTCTTACCCCACCAGATTTCCTAGGGAGCAGATCAGCAGAGCTCTTCCTGCTGTCAAGCTGGAAGTCAATCTCCAATGTGGCTTTCACTTATCAAAAATGTTTTCTTTATATACTAACATCCCACCACCTATCAGTCAGCTTGTCATACTGTGGTGGCTTGTGGGTTGCTATGATGCTGGAATCAATTTTTTTTTTTTATTACTGGTATTTCAGATATCAGCAGGGTCACCTATGGTGGACAGATTTCAGTGGCACTTCAAGACTAAGACAGACTAAGAAGAAAGACCAGGCAATCTAATTCTTAAAATTAGTCACTGAAAACCTATGGATTCCAACAGAATATTGTTTGATATAGTGCTAGAAGATGAACCCTGTATATTGGAAGGCACTACACAAAGCTGCAAAAATGGACTCAACATACCAATGATCACGTACATGGCATAGGACTGGGCAACATTTTGTCCTGTTATATATAAGGCTGCCATGAGTCTGAGCTGACTTGATGGCAACTAACAAAATTCATGTAATCTTTGCCTAATATTTATCATTCAAATAGGATTAATGCAAGCTAAATTTTAAGTATTACTCACATGGATGCTGGTTGCTTTCTAAGTTTGGTATTCTCAAGCACACAGGAAAAAAAAAAAGAAAATATGCATAGTGATATAGCCATGCTGTTTAATATCAGTGAAACTTAGGCTTTTCAACCACCATCTACAAATTAACAGAACACCATTCTGTTGTTCTCAAAAGGTCAGTTTTCTTGTTTTATTTGTGTATTATATTTACAGTGTCCCTATTAACACAAAAATTCAACATCATTTATGATGAAACATGGACTATAATCCATAGCAAACTAATAAGGAGTCAGCTCACATCAGTTTTCTAGGTTGGTGTGATGGTTAAGGTTGTGCGTCAACTTAGCTGGGCCATGATACTCAGTGGTTTGGCAGTTGTATAATGTTGTGACCACTTCCATGATGAGATTTGACACAATGTGATCACCTCCATGATAGGATCTGCTATGAGTAGTCAATCAGTTGAAAGGGAGTTTCCTTGGGCGTGTGGCCTGCATTGAATATAAGCGGACATTCTGACAGGGCTTGTGGACTTTTGCCTTCTCTGGATCCTGCAGTTGGCTCCTGTTCCTCTGATTTCAGGTTCCTGGGACTTGAGCTAGCAGCTTACCTGCAGTCTTGCCTGCCTATCTTGGGATTTGTCGATCTTTGCATCCTGTGAGCAAGATCCTTGCTTTCTGACCTGTTCATCTTGGGTTGGTCAGCTCCTGTGGCTACATGAATCAGAAGAAGCCTCTATTCTGACCCACGGATTTGGGAAGTTCCAGCCTCTACGACCAAGTGAGCTATTTCCTTGATATAAATCTCTATACATATTGATACGCTTTACTGATTTTGTTTCTCTAGAGAACCCAGCCTAAGGCAGCTGGCAAGATAACAGAAAAACTAGACTAATATCAGATGTCAAAACTAGCAAATAACATAACCGTTTAGGTTCTTAGAACTTAGCTGAGGAGAAAAAGCAAAGCTTGATTGATTCAGTAGAATCATAGAACATTTCATATCAGCCTTGAACTTCTCTGTTACACCTAAAAGAGTATTGGTTAACCCGGACTTTAATAGATGTACTTTTTTGCACTTTGACCCCAAAATTTATATTTATATTTGCTTTACGCTATAAAATGTGCTTTTCCCTTATAATCCTTTATTTACTCTGCACAACAATCCTATGAGGTCAATATTGTTATTATCTTTATTTATATAAGTGTAGCAGTAAGTACAAAGAGGTTAAATTACTTGCTCAAAGTAATCAGTAGAGACAGGACTTCAACTCCACCCTTTATGCACATCAACAGTTATTTGTCAAGAAATATATATTTAAGTACCTATGTATTAACTAGACATGATATTATTAAAAGTAGTGAGACAGAAAACTTAAGTTTGGTCCCCTCCCTCTTAAAACTATCAATTATAACTGTGTATCTCCTCCATCTAGGGACCTAGTGGTTTTGTGCTGCTGTCTATATGAGAGACTGACTTGGGCCTGTCTACCTCAGGCAGCAGCCCATGCTCTGGATCTTTCTCTCCAATCTTCTCTTGCATCCTACCTACTCTGCCTCTGAACAAGTCTATTCCAGATTCCCTTTGTGGGATAAAAGACCCACTTTTACCCTAAGTAAGGTGGCCTTTGTCCTTGGCTCTGGAGAAATAACACTTGGAGAAATTGGGATGTTTTGGTCTGGAACTTCCAGGTTGCACTTGAGAATTTCTGCTGGCAAGTGAGGCCTGGTCAGACCAGAAAAGACTCATGTGGGAAGTTGATATCAACTAGCCTCAGGAGGCATGATTTAGCCTATCATGAAGGACTGACCAATAAAATCCCTGAGCACAGAGACTCAGAGAGCTTCCTGGTTGGTGAGGACATCTGTTCTCAGAAGGGTAGCATATTTCTTGGAACATGGATGCTTTGCATTGTGAATTCTCCCAGACCTCACCCTATGTGTCTGTTTGTTTGATTCATTTTTGACTGTAATTAATAGGTAGTCATAACTATGGTAACCTCTCTATGAGTCCTGTCAGCTGTTCCAGTGATTTGTTGGACCAAAAGGGGTAATAGGAACCAGCTGGTCAGAAAGTAAGGGTGTCATGTGGACTTCTAAGCTTGTGGCTAGCATCCTGAAGGGATAGTAGGAAACCAGCTCTGAATTTATGGCAAGCAAGTCAGAAGGTTGGGGTGTCATGGACTTCCCAAGTTTGCGACTGGAATGTGTCTATTTAGCAGTCTGAAGAAAAGTGTCCTTTTAACTTGTGAGCTCTGACCTAGCTTAGGTGGCTAAGGTCATACAGAGAGTGTCAGGGGATAGTTGATTATGAGGATGGAGAAGAGGGAATGTGGGTAGTGGATCAGGCTCCAGAATTTGGGAGCTGGAGTCATACTGATCATTATCACACACCCTCTTTATGGAAAAAATTTGAGGACTTGATTTTCGTTTACATTAGAATATAAACTCAGTGAAGGGATATTCTTTATCTGCTTTCTTCACCCCTGGATTTCCAGCAGCACCTTGAATTGTGCCTAGAACACTGGAGGTTTCAGTAAATATTTGTTAAATGAATATAGTTGCAGATCAATCTTAAACTCATAAAGAGATGACCCAATAGCCTTAATTTGTGTTCCCTGAAAGCAGGGCTGAGACAAAGACTTGAATTGAGGTAGTTTATATGGCAGGCGACCTCTGGAATCAGGAATGAAGAAGCGAGAGTGAGTGAATTAGAGGAAGAGAAAAAGTCAATGTATAACCAAGGCTATTGTTCTAGGTGACAGGAGCTTGACTCTCCCAGAACTTCTAAGCAGTGTACAGAACACAGCACAGGACTGTCCGCTGGAAGAACAGGATACAGAAACATTTATCTATGGGCTCAGTTGACTGAGGGCTACCCTGAGGATGTTAATACCACTCCACTTCCAAGATGCACAAGCAGGTTTCCATAGCTTTGGAAAAGTCCCTGGAGAAGAAAGTAGAAAGACACAGGATAATGTGATGCTATGAACGTGAGGTGAATCTGAGATTACATGTAACTAAACATGGCAACAGCAGCTAACATTAGAGGTAAACAGAGAGATGTGACATAAGGAGACAAAGGAATCTGCTCCACAAACAAAAGAATTTCAAGAAATATTAGTGTTACTAATTTTTCTAGTTATGCAAGCTGGAAGAATTTCTAGAACTCTGGAAGTTCAGGTGAAAGATCATCTTCTGATCACCGACTTAATCAAATGTCTCAACTGTTCCAGCTTCTCTTTTCAGTTATTTAATAAAATTTAAAGGCACTCAAAAATCAGTTCAAACTCTTACACATACCACAGCTTAATGAAAGGGTTTTTAAATTGTATGCTCAGATAGGGAAGTACAGGAGATGGACCAGGGAATATCATTAAATTAACTTCCATTTCAAGACTAAAACAGGAATTTAGGAATAATTAAGATGTTAAATCAGAAATAATACTTTGTGGGCATGCAATCAATTTTAGCTTTTTATAAAAGATTGAGAGTCACATGTTGATACTAAAGGAACAAATAAGCAGTATTTGTCAAGCTGAATCTGTGGACTTCTCAAAGTCTGATGAAATTTCCTTTTTTAATTTTTTATTGTGCATTAGGTTAAAGTTTACAGAGCAAATTAGTCTCCCATTCTATAGTTTGTCCATAAAGTGTTCCATGACATTGGTTTCATTCCCCACAATGGGTCAGCACACTCCCCGTTTTTGTCCTAGGTTCCCTGTTTCCTTCTGTCCTGATTTTCTACCCCTTCCTGCCTTCTCATCTTTACTTTTGGTCAAATGTTGCCCTTTTGATCTTGTGTAATTGATTGTTCTAAGGACCACATTCCTCTTGGGTGTTATGGATTATTTCATGGGTCTTTCTGTGGTTTGGCTGATAGGTGGTCTCTGGGAATGGCTTCAGTTCCAGTTCAGAAGGGTGTCTTAGGGTCATAGTATTGGGGGTTCCTCCAGTCTCTGTCAGACCAGTATGTCTGGTCTTTTTTGTGAATTTGTTTTTTTTTCTACAATTTTTTTCCTCCTCTGCCTGGGAGCATCTGTTGTGATCCCAGTCAGAGCAGTTGGTAGTGGTAGCAGAGCACCATCTAGTTCTTCTGGTCTCAGGGTCGTGTAGGCTATGGTTCATGTGGTCCTGATGAAATTTTCTTGGGGATTCACAGGTTTGAAGATACACATACACACACACATTTTAAAAAAATTAATATAAGCAAATACATTCTGGATCATCTTGCTTACATTTTATGATCAAAAAAGCCCAGAAATTGAATTTTCTTTCATATTTTAAGCACCCAAATGGTCAAGCTATTTTTTAATCTTGACATCTGATATGAGCCTTATCTGACCAGCGGCTAAGCAACTGATGTGAATTAACCCCTTATCAGTTTTCTATTGCTTACAGTCCATGTCACATCATAAATAGTGTTGAGTTTTTCTGTTGATAGGGACATTGTAAACGTAAAACACAAGTAAAACAAGAAAACTGGACTTTCAGAAACAACCATATACAATGGTATTCTGTTAATTTATAGACAGTAGTGGAAAAGTCAAAGCCTCACTGATGTCAAATAGCAGGGCTATATCACTATGCATATTTCCTTCCTTTTTTCTCCCCCTGCATGCCTGAAAACATCAAATTAAAAAAGAAAATGGCATTCATGTAATTCATTGTCCCCCAAACTATTAGGCAAACAAATGAGTATTTCATTGACTTAATGTGACAATGAATTGCACGTCCAAAACAGGTTGTATGTGTGGTTTAGCAAAACAAAATTAAGAGCTATTCTAGGGAAGGACACTGCCACAGCTTTGGCATAATTAGGAATCATCATAATCAAATACAGGAAATTGGCACATCTGCTTTTCAGGCTGTTGATCCAACTGTGAGGCTGCCTGTACACACTGGCACAAGCAGTTCTGATGCAGCTCGATGTGTTCTGCAAAGCTGTCTTTGCATAAATATTTACACAATTTTCTCCAAACGCCACTATAAGCAGTTGTTTTTTTATCACTTTTTCTCCCATGGGTTATTATTTCTTCCCATCCCTACTCCTGGTGAAGGAGTGATCACTTTTTATTCTAAGGATTTATCTTTCTTCAAGGGAAGTTTAGAGGAAAATCTTGGAACCTGAGAGTTTTATAAAAGGTAATGAGATGAGAGTAGTACCTTTCATTTGGTATCCTTTCCTAAAAATAGAAAGAAAGAAAAAAGTTACACCAAACCTAGCTGTGGAGTAAGGAGAAGTAGAGAGAGAGAGAAGTTGGAGAGGAATCCACTCAGAATTTGAGATTGATAAAGAACAGAAAGTCAAATTAGGTGAAGTGGAGTAGCACATCCTTAAAGAAGTGTTATTCCTGCCTCCCAACTTCCGTTAATTAATTAGAGGTCAAAAAAGTCTTCTTACAGAAGCATTGGTTTACAAGTTCTTTCACTATTAGTCACTTAGTCTTTCTGATACTATTTCCTTCTCATTAAAATGATCTAGGAGATCTGTCGTGTCTTCTCCAGTTTTGATGTTTTTATTTGCCATTGTGGAAAGTACAACATATTTTAAAATATTACATATTTTATGCATTTAAAAATCTAATTCAAAATATACCATCTTTCATATTTTCCAAGCATCGTTTTGCTTACAAATGTGCACAAGTGTCCTGTTTTATTATTATAAACTGGATTGATAGCATCTAAATCCCAACAGATAAAATACTGGACAATACTCTAAGTATTTATAATCAATCTCAGATGTGGGAAGTATATTCATTCTTAGTATCAACTCTTTGCCTTCGATGCAGATTTTTGGTGACACATCGTACTGGAATTTGTGCATTTGAGAGTGGTGTGGGATATATTTTCGTAACAAAATAATTAGAGGATTAACATGGGGAAAGGCAATTTTTTCCTTCCAAAATCATCAGTAAGGCGCCACTTTTAAAACAATTTTCAAATAAGAAAGGAGAAAGTGTTATAAATAGGAATAGATGAGAAAAATCTCCTACTCACACTCCTCAAATTTCATTAATATACAAATTATGAAATATTGGTAGTTACCAAAGTCATATGTTGCTATTTATTCCTACATATAAATGTCAAGATTGTGAGTGGGGTGTCTGTTAGTATGGGTGTCTTTTAGTGTGGGGTGTCGGCCCCCAACTCATGGAAACCTCATGCACAGCAGGATAAGCTGGTTTCCCCCATGGAAGGTGAGAATTCTACCACTGAGCTACCACCACTCTCTAGTATGGTGCTTATTTAAAACTTTTTAATGAACTTTACATAGTTTGATTATAGAGTTTGATTCTTTCCAATGAATTTTTTGTTATATTAAACCATACTAAATCATCAGAATCTCTTCAAATAATACTAAAACTCTTTTTTCCTTTTTTCACCTTTGCATCCTTAGATGATTTTGTTCTCAAGCTTATTTCCTCATGGACCCACAGTGGCTGCTGCAGCTCCAAAAAATACAATGCAGAAGGTAAAGAATTACAATTAGTCTCTGTTTAATGGGCCCTCTACTAAGGACCTATTTCTGCCCCTTTTTACTCTCTTTTCCCTTGGTAACTGTTTTATTCTCCTCACTCCCCACCCCAGGCATCTTCTTTCAATTTTCTAGGCATGCTGCTGAAGTTTCCCATCAATGAATAAGATCGCTGGGAACTTTCATGTTAGTAATGGAGAACTCTGGGAGCTCAGGTACTTGGAATTACCCAACAATTCAGAGCCAGATTCAGGAATAAAATTGTGAGTGTAGTGTTTGAGTCATAGTTTTCCTGTACTGATGATTCAATCAGTCCTTTATAACTTCAGAATGTTTTTTGTATGTTCCACACCTGTGGATATTTTGAAAACCATTGCATATGTGTATTATATGTGTGTGTAGGTATGTGTTTTTACAATAAATGCTATGTGAACTACACTGAAGAAGAAGCTTAAGGTTTTTAAAATTTTTTTTCCACCATACTCACAGCAAACTTTCCCCTTTCTAGGTTTATTAATTATTTAATAGGCCTTACTTTACCTGAGGGGCCCTGGTAGCGCAGTGGCTAAGTGTTTGTCTGCTAACCAAGAGGTCAGCAGTTCAAATCCACCAGCTGCTCCTTGGAAACCCTATGGGGCAGTTCTACTCTGTCCTGTAGGATCACTATGAGTCGGAATCAACTCAACAGCAATGGGTTTTGGTTTTGGTTTTTGGTTAATCTTTACAGGAGCAGATCACCAGGTCTTTTCTCCACGTTTTGGTTAGCAGCCAAGTGCTTAACCATTGCGCCACCAGGGCTCCTTAAGGGGGCATCGGGGTGTGCATTTATTTTTGTCCAGAGGGAATCAGGAAATCAGGGAAGACTTCTGGGAGTAAATTATGTTTAAACTGTGAACAGTGAATAATAGTTAACAGTAACACAAAGAAGGGCAGGGAAGTATGTAAGATAGAAGTTCCTTTAAGGTATAAAAATTCCATTATTGGGATATTTCAACTTCATTTATATGATATAAATAGTTTAAAGAGTAGTAGTACTTACATTTTAGAAATGTGAATTTGGGGATTGAACTATAATAATACATTCTTAATTATTGTAAATTTTCTATTATGTTTTTCTCTTTCAAGAGCTCACTCTGGGCTTGTTAGTTTAGAAAAGGAATATTGGTAATTTGAGTTACATACCTGAAGTAATAAAATTTTCAAGCTGGAAAGGGCCTGACAGTTCATCCAGCCCCACCTTGCCATTTTTCAGCATGTCTCCTTAATGCAGAGAAATTAAGCAACATATCTACTAAATTCTCACAGCTGGTTAGTGGTAGAGTTTGCACTAAATTTAAAGTCTTCTGATTCCTAGTTTAATAGTGGTTCAGTTATCTCAGGCTGTCTTTTCATAACATAAAAATAAATAAATGCACATTTTCATAGTATTTTGTATCTACATACCAAAACAAAATAAATAAATAACCAGTTGTTGTCAGGTCGATTATATCTCATGAATAAAACGGTGTTTCATAGGGTTTTCAAGGCTGCGACTTCTTAAATTTTTTTAATTTTATTGTGCTTTTGGTGAAAGTTTACCGCGCAAATTAATTTCTCATTCAAATATTTATACACAGATTGTTTTGTGACATTGGTTGCAATCTCCGAAATGTGTCAGCTCTCTCCTACTTTCCCTTTACACCCGGGTTCCCTGTGCCCACTTGTCCAGTTTTCCTGTCCTTTCCTGCTTTCTCGTCTTCTTTTTTGGGCAGGTGTTGCCATTTGATCTCGTATACTTGATTGAACTAAGAGGCATGTTCCTCGCTTGTGTTATTGCTTGTTTTATAGACCTGTCTAATCTTTCACTGAAAGGTAGACTTTGGGAGTGGATTTAGTTCTGAGTTATCAGGGTGTCCAGGTGCTGTAGTCTAACGGGTTCCTACAGTCTTTGTCAGATCTGTAAGTCTGGTCTTCTTTTGTGAATTCGAATTTAGTTCTGCATTTTTCTCCCACTCTGTCTGGTACCCTCTACTGTGATCCCTTCAGAGCAATTGGTGGTGGTAGCCAAGTACCATCTAGTTCTTCTGCCCTTAGGCTGGTGGAGGCTGTGTTTCATGCGGTCCATTAATACTTTGGACTAATATTTTCCTTGAGTCTTTGGTTTTCTTCATTCTCCTTTTCTTTGGACGGGATGGGACCAATAGATGATGTTAGATGGCCATTCACAAGCTTTTAAGACCCAAGACATTATTCACCAAAGTAGGATATAGAGCATTTTCTTTATGAACTATGATGTGCCAATTGACCTAGATGTCACCTGAGACCATAATCCAATGATGTGACTTTTTGCAAGCAGATTGTCAGGCCTTCTTTCTTCAGAGATGCCTTCGGTGGGCTCAAACCACTAACCTTCTGGTTTGTAGTAGTCAAGAGCTTAACCATTTGCTCCACCCAGGGTCTTCTATTCAAGTACCAGGAGGAGAAAATTATAAAAGGAGTAGAACTGGAAAGGAATGGGATAGGTTTTTATTTTATTTTGTTTTTGGTTCTCTGATTAGTGGTTTCACCATTGTGATAATTATAAATGTGTTCCTAAGGTTAAAAAAAAGAAATATTGACCTATGCGATCTCACTTTCTTCAGAATAAATTTTAGCGTCAATTTGATATATGTATTAGTATTTTAATTGAGAAGTAACTGTTATTTTAACCTAGAACAGTCAGTTTGAATCTGAATTTTTCTTTTTCCTAGTGGCATCTTATTTTCAGGTACTATTTTTTATTTTATTTTATTATTTTTATTGTTGTAAAAATATAGGTAGCACAACATTTGCCAATGAAACATTTTTCACTTGTACGCTTCAATGAAATCAATTACATCAGTCATGTTATACAACCATCACCAGCATCCGTTGCCATATTTCCCATTCTCATAAACAGAAACTCAGTGCTAGCTAAACAACAATTCCCCTTCCCTCCCACCCATGAGAACCCCTGTTAAACTCTAATTTCTATACATTTGCCTATTCTGAGTGTTTTATATTAGTGAGATCTTACATTATTTGTCCTTTTGTGATTGGCTTATTTCACTCAGCATAATGTTTTTAAGCTTTATCCATGTTGTGACAAATATCAGGACTCCATTTCTCTTTATGGCAGAATAATATACCAAATATTATTGTGTGCATATACCAAATTTTGTTTAACCATTCATCTGTTGATGGGTATTTGGGTTGTTTCTACCTTTTGGCTATTGTAAATAGTGTTACAATGAACGTTAGTGTACATGTATCTATTAGCATCTCTGCTTTCAGTTCTCTCAGGTATGACATCAATGGCATGGGCAACAAAAGACAAAATAGATAAATGAGATTTCATCAAAATTAAGGCTTCTGTACACCTAAGGACTTGGTCAACAAAGTGAAGAGACAACCTACAGACTGGGAGAACATTTTTGGAAATTATGTTGTTGTTATTAGGTGCCATCCAGTCAGTTCAGACTCATAGCAAAACTATGTACAACAGAACTAAACACTGCCTGGTCCTGCACCATTCCCACAATCGTTGTTATGCTTAAACCCATTGTTGCAGCCACTGTGTCAATCCATCTCGTTGAGGGTCTTCCTCTTTTTCACTGACCCTCTGCTTTGCCAGGCACAATGTCTTTCTCCAGGGTTTGGTCTCTCCTGATAACATGTCCAAAATACATGAGATGAAGTCTCGCCATCCTCACTTCTAAGGAGCATTCTGGTGGTACTTCTTCCAAGACAGGTTTGTTTGTTCTTCTGGCAGGCCATGGTATATTCAATATTCTTCCCCAACACCATAATTCAAAGGCATCAAATCTTCTTCTGTCTTCCTTATTCATAGTCCAGCTTTCTAATGCCTATGAGGAGATTGAAAATGTCATGGCTTTGGTCAGAAGCACCTTAGTCCTCGAAGTGACATCTTAGCTTTTCAACACTTTAAAGAGGTCTTTTGCAACAGATTTGCCCAATGCAATACGTCATTTGATTTCTTGACTGCTGCTTCCATGGGCGTTGATTGTAGATCCAAGTAAAATGAAATACTTGACACCTTCAGTCTTTGCTCTGTTTATCATTATGTTGCTTATCGGTCCAGTTGTGAGGATTTCTGTTTTCTTTATGTTAAGGTGTAATCTATGCTGAAGGCTGAGGTCTTTGATCTTCATCAGTAAGTGTTTCAAGTCCTCTTCACTTTCAGCAAGCAAGGTTGTGTCATCTGCTTATTGCAGGTTATCAATGAGTCTTCCACCAATCCTGATGCCACATTCTTCTTCATGTAGTCCAACTTCTTGGATTATCTGCTTAGCATACAGATTGAATAAGTATGGCAAAAGGATACAACCCTGACACACCTTTCCTGACTTTAAACCGTGCAGTATCCCCTTGTTCTGTTAGAATGACTGTCCCTTGGTCTATGTACAGGTTCCTCATGAGCACAATTAAGTGTTCTGGAATTCCCCTTCTTGGCAATGTTATCTATAAATTGTAATGGTCCACAGAGTAGAATGCCTTTGCATAATCAATTAAAAACAAGTAAAAATCTTTCCGGTATTCTCTGATTTCAGTCAAGATCCATCTGACGTCAGCAGTGATGTCTCTCATTCAATGTCCTCTTCTGAATCTGGCTTGAATTTCTGGCAGTTCCCTGTCGATGCACTACTGCATCTGTTCTTGAATTATTTTCAGCAAAATTTTACTTTCTTGTGATATTAATGATATTGTTCTATAATTTCTACATTCTATGGGATCACCTTTCTTTGGAATGGGCATAAAGATGGATATTTTCTAGTTGGTTAACCAGGCAGCTATTTTCCAAAAATCTTGCCATAGAAGAGGGAGCAACTTCAGTGCTGCATTCATTTGTTGAAACATCTCAATTGTATTCTGTCAATTTCTGCAGCCTTGTTTTTTGCCAGTGTCTTCAGTGCAGCTTGGACTTCTTCATATCCTTGGTTCTTGATCATACGCTATCTCCTGAAATGGTTGAACGTCGACCAATTCTTTTTGGTACAGTAACTCCATGTATTCTGTCCATCTTCTTCCTTTTTTTTTTTTTTTTTACTGTATTTTAGATGAATGTTTACAGAACAAACTAGCTTCTCATTAAACGTTAGTACATGTATCATTTTATGACATTGGTTAACAACTCCACGATATGTCAACGCTCTCCCTTCTCGAACTTGGGTTCCCTGTTACCAGCTGTCCTGTCCCCTCTTGCCTTCTAGTCCTTGGCCCTGGGCTGCTG